CGTTAAAATCGACCCGACGAAAATCAAGACCATAAAGGAGTGGAAGTCCCCGACGAACGTCACGGAACTACAGAGTTTTCTGGGATTTGTGAATTACGTTAGGCGGTTTATCCCGAATATGGCGGGGATAACCGGCCCGCTGACTGACCTGCTGCAGAGGCAGCTTTCCAGGAGTTGAAGAAATTTCTTGCTTCCCCTCCTGTGCTGCGCATCGCCGACCCATCGAAGCCGTTCGAAGTCGTCACCGACGCCTCCGATTTCGCCATCGGAGCTGTAGTACTCCAAGATTTTGGGAACGGGCTGCAGCCGATAGCCTACGAGTCACGCAAGCTGCAGGCTGCCGAGCGCAACTACCCGACTCACGACAAGGAGATGCTCGCCATAATACACGCGTTTAAACTGTGGCGCTGCTATCTGGTGGGCACCGACGTCACTGATAGCACAGACCACAAGTCCCTACAGTACCTGCGAGCTCAGCCCAACCTCAACCCGAGACAGATTCGGTGGCTGGACTACATGGAGAGCCACTTCACCTACCGCATCACGTACAAGAAGGGGGCAAATAACATCGCCGACGCCCTGACCCGACCGACAGTACAATCCGCTGCAGTACTCATTAACCATTTGAACCCATTACTTGCGGGACTATTCACCCACGACTACACTACGGACCCGTTCTTCACGACTGGAAATCATCAGCAAGCCACGACGCAGAAAGGGGATTATTACCTTAAGGCCGGAACTGACCGGATTTGGGTTCCCGCTTACTGGCTGCTGCGTGAACTCCTTATCCAAGAGGTCCACGATTCCAACTTCTCCGGACATTTCGGGGTTGACAAAACCCAGAAATTGCTGCACGTCAATATTATTGGCTTGACTCCTCTAACGACGTGCAGCGATATGTGTCCTCATGCAGGGTGTGCCTGTCAAAATGTTATAATGCTTATATTGTGTAGGCTGTAGTGGGGTAGCCCATAAGGGGTACAACCCAATTAGGGTTAGTACTTGTACCAACTTTCTGTTCAGTGCATTCATTCTCGTTCAGTGTTCTGACATGGTTTCAGAGTAGGTCCTGTTTCAGGACCGTTTTTTTTTAGGGCCCACCGAATAGTTCCCTGCCCTTAGCGCGTTACCCTACTTTTAGCGCCCTACCCTGCCCGTCGTGCTGCCCCACTGTCACGCTGCCCCGCCCTGCTGACTGCCGTGTCGCCCTGCCCTGCCTGTTGCGCTGCCCTGCTGGCCGCGCACTGCCCTGCCCTGCCCGCGCCCCGCCCTGCTAGCCGCCGCGCCACCCTGCCCTACCCGCGCGCCGCCCTGCTGGCAGCCGCCCTGCCCTGCCCTGCATGCGTGCCGCCCTGCTGGCCGTCGCCCTGCCCTGCCCTGCCAGTTGCGCCGCCCTGCCCTAACTGTGCGCCGCCCCGCCCTGCCCTGCACGCTGCCCTTGCGCTTGCGCGCTTCCCTTGCGCTTGCGCGCCGCCCTGCCCGTCGCGCTGTCCTTGCTTGTGTGCTGCCCTGCTTTTTGCGCGCCACCCTGCTCTGCCCGCCATGGCTACTCTCAGCGTTCTCACATTCGATCCTGAGGGCCGTCCGATCCAGTTCGATACATGGCTCAATGACTTATAGCTGTACCTACTGAGCGATTCTAGAGACGGCGTTTTGTTGTTTGACCACACGTCTGGAGCCTCTCTCGCCCCTCCCGCCATAGCTGACAGTGCGACTCGCTCATAGTGGCTTACACGTGACGCTGCTGCTCGCTTAGCCGTTCGCAACCACTTACCGTTAGCCGAACGCGCCCACTTTGGCCAGCACAAGACTGCTAAAGCCCTGTACGACGCTGTAGTCACTCGTTACTCCTCCCCTGCCACTGCTGCTCTCGGCCGCCTTATACTGCCCTACCTTTTTCCCGAGTTTGTCCGCCTTTGCCACAGTCGACGAACTCATCACCCACCTTCGCACTAGCGACACTCGCTACCGCGCTGCCCTCACAGTCGAGTTCCTAGACAAGAACCCGCCCCCGATGTACATCACTCTCTGCTTCGTAGTCACCCGCCTCCCAGACTCTCTTCGCGCAGTCAGGGACCACTTTCTTGCACTTGACCCCACAGACCTCACTGTCGACCTGCTCGAGAAGCACCTCCTTGCAGCTGAGACTAGCGAAGTCGATGTAGGTGCTGCTCGTGGCACCCCTCGCACACCCTTCTTTGAGGGGTGTTCCCCCTCCCCCCTTGCCCCTTCCTACGCTTCTGCTGGTGCTGTTGACATTCTTGGTACTGAGGACGTCAGGGCTGCTTCTACTCTTAGTGGGAAGCGCCACAACGGCAAGGGCAAGGGAGGCAAGAGTGGTGGAGGTGGCAGCGGGGGTGGTGGTGGTGGAGGCAGTGGAGGCGGTGGAGGTGGCGGAGGTGGTGGTGGGAGTGGTGGCGGGAATGGGGGCTTCGGTGGCGGCGGTGGTGGCAGCGGTGGGAGTGGTGGTGGCGGTGGTGGCGGCAGTGGGAGTGGTGGTGGCGGTGGTGGCGGCAGTGGGAGTGGTGGCGGCGGCAGTGGTGGCGGTCGGGGTGGAGCTGTCCAGCGGGGAGGTTTTGGCGGTGGCCAGAGGCAGCAGCAGCAGCGTCAGAGCAAGACCCCTACGCCCCAGCAGCTTCATGAGTGGTTTGCTCAGCGTGGGGCGTCTGGGGGTAGTGTTCGCCCCATGCCGCCCGACCCAGGTATAGAGGGTGCTGCTCTAGGTGCTAGTTGTTAGAATTATATGTTCTAGCATGCCAACACCTGCGACTGTACACCAATTGTGGTGTACAGTGAGTTGGGACTACACCCAACTTTGGGTCTAGTCTTGGATTGTGGGGTGCCAATCCAACCCAATTGTGGTGGAGCCCCCAAATGCAACCCACTTGGCCTCAGGTTGCCTCACTTCCCAAAAGTGAGGCCAACCCAACCCAAGTGGGCCTGGGGTTGCCTCACTTCCCACAAAGTGTGGTCAACCCAACCTTTCTTCTCCAACCTTCTCATCCAACCTATGTATGCTTGTTTCTCCTCTAATCTAATCAATCATTCTTTTTCAATCTTCACATGGTATAGAGCTATTCTTCCTAAGGCCTTAACCTTCCCCCTCCAGCTTTTTTTTCCCAAGGGCCCACCATCCGCTTCCCTCATGACGCGACCCTTCCGCCGCCCTCGTCCCCCTCCCCTCTTCCCCATCTCGGCGCTTTCCCACCGCGGCCTCTTAGCCGCCGCCCGTGCCCTTCCGCCGCGCGACCGCTACGTCGCCGCCCTCTGATCTCGCCGCCATGACCCTTCGGTCGCCGCCTGCCCTCCCAGCCGCCGCGACCATATTTTTCGTCGCCTGCCCTCCCAGCCGCCGCAACCACGCCGTCGCCGCCTGGCCCTTCCGCCGCCTCGACCTTCTCGTCGCCGGCTGCCTGTTTTGCCACCACGACTTCACGTTGCCGCCAGCACATTCACCCACCGCGGCTACGTCCTCGCCGCCTGTGGTACCCGCCGCCGCGACTGCACGTCGCCGCCTGCACGTCCACCCGCCGCGACTGCCCCGTCGTTGCCTGCACGTCCCGCCGCCGCGACTGCACCGCCGTGACTGCACCCCCATCGCCCGCGATTTTCACGGCCGCGACTGCACTGTCGCCGCCTCCAATTCCCGTCGCTGCAACTGCGCTTCGCCGCCTGCGCATCCCGCCACCGCGACTCCCCCCACCTCCTTGCCGTGACCGCACCGTCACCGCCCGCAGTTTCCGCCGCCGCGACCACATCGTCGCCGCCTACTCATCTCGTCACCGCGACCCCGTCGCCCCCCTGCGCATTCCGCCACCACTACACCCTCCCCCCCCCCCCTCACCGCTCTCTCCCCGCCATTTCAGCCGCCGCAGCAGCAGCAGCAGCAGCAGCGGCATTAGCTGAGCAGTGGCAGCAGCAGCAGCATCAGCACCAGCTGCACTAAATACTGTATCCTCCTTCCCCCCCCCTCCTCCCCCTCTCCCCCCTCCTCTCCCTCTCCCCTCTCCTCGCAGCAGAGGCAGCAGCAACAGTAGCGGCAGCAGCGGCAGCAGTGACAGTAGCGACATCAGCGACAGCAGCGGCAGCCGCACCCGTGACTGCATCCTCCTTCCCCTCCCCCCCCCCCCCCCCCACTCTCCTCCCTCCTCTCCCTCTCCCCTCTCCTCGGCTGCAGTAGCGGCAGCGGCAGAAGTAGCGGTGGCAGCGGCAGCAGCAGCAACAGCCGGAGGGGTCCAGCAGCAGCAGCAGCCGGCGGAGTGCACCAGCTCCAGCAGCAGCGCCCCCCCCCCCCCCCCCCCTCCCCCCTCCCCCTGGGCGCCGCGGGTCCACCCGCCGTCGCCTCCCCCTTGACCGTCGCGGGTCCACCCGCCGTCGTCTCCTCCTTGGCCGCCACGGGTCCACCCGCCGCTGCCCATCATGGCTACCACCCCTCCTGCTCCTCTCCCCCCTCCCATCGACGCCTCATCGGTCGACAAGATCGCTCCGCCATCAACTGGCACTCGTTCGTCGGCAGCATTTGCCGCGTCCTTCAGGATGCCTTCGTCGGACCCTACTGCGTCCTTGACGTTCTCCTCCGCCGTCCGCAGGCTCTCCATCCGACCGCACCCAACCACCCTGGCGAACCTCCTCCTCTCCCTCCCCTTCCTCGCCCCCCTCCTCTTGAGCCTAACCAGGACATCGCCACTACCCCCGAGCTTTAGGCTGCCGTGGACGCCACCTTCCTCCACAACCGCCGCGAATACCTCATCCGCAAAGCCGACCAAGACGTTGCTGTGCTCAACCACGAATTTATATCATCGGAGCGTGCCACTCGCCTGGAGCTGATTGCGGAGTACAACACCTCGATGGCGACCTACATCCCCAACAGCATCGCTTGGGCCGCTGCCGACAACCGCGCCTGCACCATCCTCCTCGGTGCACTCCCCGACGCCCTCATGCACCGCTTCCAAGCTCGCGAGATGCGCGCTCACTTAATTTGGACCGAGCCCCAGTCTATGTTCGAGCGTCGCGACATCAGCTCCGTCGGCGCTCTCTTCCAGGAGTACTTCTCCATTACCCCTGCCACCTGCGACAACGCAGGCGACTATGTGGGGCGCATGCAGGAGGTAGCCGGTCGCCTTGCCGCTCGCCAGGCTGCCCTTTCCGAGCCCCTGCAGATTCATCGTCTACTCTTCAACCTCATGCCGGACTACGAGTCCCGCCTTCACGCCTTCACCGAGGCAAACCCCTTGGCTGGCCTCACCGAAGTGACTCAGTGGATTATTGACACGGAGGTCAAGCTCCGCACCCCCATTGTCAACCTCACCACCACTCCTTCCTCCACCTCCCTCAATGCCACGCAGCCGCGCAACCAGGGTGGTCGCAACGGCGGCGGAGGGGGTTGTGGAGGGGGCGGAGGTGGCAGTCTGGGTAGTGGCGGTGGTGGCGGTGGTGGCCGAGGTGGTGGTGGTGGTGGTGGTGGTGGTGGTGGTGGTGGTGGTGGTGGTGGTGGTGGTGGTGGTGGTGGTGGTGGTGGTGGTGGTGGTGGTGGTGGTGGTGGTGGTGGTGGTGGTGGTGGTGGTGGTGGTGGTGGTGGTCCTTGTGGCCCCACTCCTAGAGGTTCCTCTGGTGCCGGTGGAGCTGTGAGCCGTGGTGGTCGCCCTAGGACTCTCCCCCCCTGCACTTACGTTCGTCGTCATGGTCCCCACGCCGGCACGCCGTGTGGACATTCAAACCCTCCCCTCCTTCCTCCCCGCTCACCTCCACCTACTCACCCCCTCCCCCCCTTCCCAGCTGCAGCAGTTTCAGTAGCATCAGCAGCAGTACTTCCCGCAGCAGCAACAGCCGCAGTTTCTCCAGCCGTAGCAGCAACAGCCGCAGTTTCTCCAGCCGCAGCAGCCGCAGTTTCTCCAGCCGCAACAGCCACAGCTTTTTCAGCCGCAGCAGCCACCACAGCAGCAGTTCTTCCAGCAGCAGCAGCCGCCGCAATGGCAGCAGCAGCCGATGACCTTCGGAGCAGCGGCCATTGCCGCTCATGCCTCTCTTGCTCCCCCCCCTTGGGGTTCCATCCCCTCTGCCCCCCCAAGTGTCCCTTACTCTCAGAGCAGTTTCCTTGGTCATGTTGTTGCTGCACCATCCGTCGCTTCCATGTATCCCTCTGCTATCAATGAAACGTCCTTCCAGTACCCCGTGTCACCTCCCCTTCCTTCCTCCCCCACCTTGGACTTTGTCCTTGACAGTGGGGCCACAGAAACCGCACTCAAAGGCGCTGGCACCCTCACCCCCCTCCCACTTCCCGCCCAGGTTCATGGTGCTGACTCCAGCTTCTCCATCCCATGCACTCACCTCTCCACCCTCCCTTGCACCGCTTTCCCCTCGGTAGGGTCACAGGTCTCCACATCCCTACCCTTCGCAACAACCTCCTCTCTCACCGAGAGCTCCAAGGTGTCGGTATTACCGCCATTTACCCTGGTTTTGCTACTTACTGTGATCTCTACCAAACCTCTTCTGGTCGCTTCCTTTTGCGCATTCCCCTTTGCCCTCGCACTCGCCTTTACACGCTCCGCACACCCCGTCCCTCTTTGTGTCATATTACCACTCGTGCTGGTACTTCCACCGGTCCTCCTCCCCCTCTCCCTCCCCCTCAGGTATCCCCCTCCTCTACTTCACCCCCCTCCTCCTCCCTCCCCACCTCTTCTCCCACCCCATCCCCCTCCTCCTCTACTGCCCTCTCCCACCCAGCAGTCATTTTGCATCACAGAATCGGCCATCCCAACTTCGCCGCACTTCGCACCACTGTCACCTCTCACCTCCTTCACAGCCTCCCTCCCACCTTACCTCCCCTCCCCTCCTCTCCTGCTCCCCCATGCCCATTGAGCATTCATGGCAAGCTCAAGCAGTCCCCCCATCACAGCCATCCCACCTTTGCTACCGCCCCCATTGACCTTGTCCACATGGATCTCTGGGGTCCCTATCCCATCCGCTCCTGTCAGGGGCACTGGAACATGCTCATCCTCGTCGACAACCACAGTCGGTACTCCACCGTCTTTTTCCTTCACACCAAGGACCAAGTGCCGGCTGTGGTCATCAACTGGGCTGAGCAGTGCCGCAATAATTTCAAACGCCCCATTGGTCGCCTTCACTCTGACGGTGGGGGTGAGTTTATCAACAACACCCTTGCCACCTTCTGCAAAACTCATGGCATTCAGCAAACCTCCACCCTTCCCCACTCCCCTCAGCAAAATGGCATTGCTGAGAGTTGCATCCGTGAAATCACCAAAATTGCCTGTTGTCTCATTGCTCACGCCTCCACCCCTCCTTCCCTTTCGACCTATGCACTCCTCCATGCCGCCCTCCTCCTCAATCTCCACTCCCACCCTCAGCATCCCTCCTCCTCCCCCACAGAACTCTGGTCTAAGGCCAAGCCTGACGCTGCCGGCCTTCGCGTTTGCGGCTGCAAGTCCTTCGTCCCACCGGCCGATTGCTCCCACGCCGCTGGCAAGCTCGCCCCCCGTGCCCTGGAGTGCGTCTACATCGGGCACAATTGCGTCTCCCTAGGCTACCTGTTCCTCCACCCTCCCACCAACCCGCCTCATCCGCAGCATTGACGTCGTCTTCAACGAATCCATTCCTTACTACTCCACTCCTCCTCCTGACCCTCTCCCTCCTCCCTCTCGCCCCCTCGCTTGGACCAACACTGTTCTCCCACCTCTCCTCCCTCCCGCTCCTCTCCTCCCCCCGGTTGACGCTCCACTCCCTCCGTCCTCCTCTGCTAACGTCTATGACCCCGCTGCACCTGCCTCCCCGGCCCACTCAGCTGCGCCCCCTCCCCCCTCTCCCTCCTCCTCTCACTCTCCCCCTTCTTTGCAACGGCCGGGCTAGCAGCAGCAGCAACAGTAGCCAAGTCATCAGCAGGGACAGCAGCAGTAGCAGCAGCAGCTGGTTCTGCAGCAGGGGCAGCAGCAGCAGCAGCGGCAGCCGGGTCAGCAGCAGGGGCAGCAGCAGCAGCAGCCGGGTCAGCAGCAACAGCAGCAGCAGCCGAATCAGCAGCAGGGGCAGCAGCAACAGCAACACCAGGGGCAGCAGGAGCAGCACCAGCACCAGCAGCAGCAGCACCAGCACCAGCAGCGGCAGCAGCACCGAGCGAATTCCCGCTCCTCCCCTTTCCTCCTCCCTCGCATGCACACTCGCTCCCTGGTCAAACTCATTGGAGCCCCTCCTCCCGCCTCCATTCAGCTCCTTGAGGACTCCCATGAGGAGTTCCTCAACATTCGGCACCACACTCCTTTCCTTGCCTCCATCTTCCTTGACTTCCTTGGCCTTCCCGTCCTTGGCGCCACCTCCATCCCCACCATCTTCACTCCCTCCACCTTTCAAGAGGCCATCACCTGCCCTGATGCGAACAAGTGGATAGCGGAAATCTTCCTGGAGTGTGAGGCATTCATTCGTAATGACTCTTTCGTTGATGTCCCCCTCCCGGCCAATGCCAACCTTGTCGAGGGCAAGTGGGTCTTTCGGGTGAAGCAACTGCCGGGCGAGGATCCGGTCTACAAGGCCCGCTATTGCGCTAAGGGTTTCACCCAGACTTGAGCTGAGGATTACGGGTTCACCTACGCCCCCACCGCCAAGCTGCCCACCCTCCGCACCCTCCTCAATGTTGGTGCGCGCGTCGACATGGAGATCTGCTCTATGGACGTCTCCAACGCGTTCCTGCAAGGGGACCTGCACGAGCGTATCTTCCTCCGGCGGCCCCCTGGGTTCCACGCCGCCTTTCTAGAGAAAAATGTGTGGCAGCTGCGTCGGCCTGTCTACGGCTTGAAGCAGGCGCCTAGGGAGTGGCACGCGAAGCTGTCTGCCACCCTGGGGTCCCTCGGCTTCGCTGCCTCGCATTCTGACACCAATCTCTTCCATCGCTCCTCCCCTCGCCGCTTCTTCATTCTTGTATATGTGGATGACATGATCCTGATCGCTGACTTCAAGGCTGACATGGAGCAGATGAAGCAGCAGCTGCAGCAGCGCCTCAACTGCAAGGACCTGGGCGACCTCACGCACTACCTGGGCATGGCTATCACTCGCGACCGTCCTGCTCGCACCATCACCCTCTCCCAGTCCCATTACATCGGCCAGATCTTGGAGAAGTTCGAGATGGCGCAGGCCAGTCCCATGGCCACCCCCCTCCCTTTTGGCCACCAGCTTGCCCCACCCACCTCTCCCTCCTCCTCCACTCGCCCTTATGCTGAGCTCGTTGGGTCGCTGATGTACGCTATGATGTGCACCCGTCCCGACCTCGCCTACCCCATCAGCGTGCTCGCTCGCTTTGTTGGCACTGGTCGCCACACAAAGGTGCACTGAAAAGTTGCTAAATGGGTCCTCCGCTACCTTCGCGGCACCAAGAACCACGCCCTCACTCTTGGTGGCCCCTCCCCTCCCCTGCTTTTGGGCTTCAGCGACTCCTCCTGGGCCGACACGCAGCCGGACCGCCGCTCCTCTCAGGGCTACGGCTTCACCCTCGGCAGCGGCCTTGTCAACTGGCGCTCCACGCGCTCCTCCTCTGTTTCCCTCTCCACCTGTGAGGCCAAGCTCTACGCTGGCACCATGGCCGCCCACGAATCCCGCAGGCTCTTCTTTCTTCTTGCTGCGCTTGGCACCCCTCAGCCCTGCCCCACCCTCTGGTGTAACAATGCCGGCACCATCCACCTCACTCAGGACCCTGTCTACCACGCCCGCTCCAAGCACATTGAACTGCGCTATTTCTTCATCCGCGAGCTCGTCCAGCGCAGCCTTCTTGTTGTGCGCAAGATTGCTGCCGAGGCCAACTTGGCCGACATCTTCACGAAGGCCTTCCTTCGCCCTGCGCACTCTGCTCTCCTCCGCCTCATCGACCTTGCTCGCCCGGGCGCCCCTTGACTCAGGGGTTGTTCTTTTCCTGTGTTCGCATGCTAAGGGGTTGTGTTAGAATTATATGTTCTAGCATGCCAACACTTGTGACTGTACACCAATTGTGGTGTACAGTGAGTTGGGACTACACCCAACTTTGGGTGTAGTCTTGCATTGTGGGGTGCCAATCCAACCCAATTGTGGTGGGGCCCCGAAATGCAACCCACTTGGCCTTAGGTTGCCTCACTTCCCAAAAGTGAGGCCAACCCAACCCAAGTGGGCCTGGGGTTGCCTCACTTCCCACAAAGTGTGGTCAACCCAACCTTTCTTCTCCGACCTACTCATCCAACCTATGTATGCTTGTTTCTCCTCTAATCTAATCAATCATTCTTTTTCAATCTTCACATTAGTGAGTCTGCTCTCCCTGCTACTGCACCTGCTGAGGCCGTGCACACCTTCATGCTTGAGTCAGGTGCTTCCCGCTGTTTCTTTCGCGACAGTACCACACTCACTCCACTCCCTGCACCTGTTCCAGTCAGACTGGCTGACCCCTCAGGAGGCCCAGTTCTTGCACGTTCCTCCACTGTTCTCCCGTTTCTGGCGGTTCTGTCCGGCTCACTCTCAGGTCTTCACCTCCCCTCGTTCTCTACGAACTTGATGAGTACCGCTGCCCTCCAAGATGCGATGGTCACTACCACCACTCCTGGGGGTCAGCGTATGTCGATCTGCACGTGTACACGGACGGGGCGTCACCTGGCCACGTTCACCCGTCGGCCTGGGTCGAGTCTGTACACACTGACTACTGAGCCTCCTCAGGTAGCTGCGTTTGCACAGGTGTCCGTGTCAGGTCCGGTAGCACCCCCCTGCTCGTGTCGCCTCCTGTCGCACCAGACTCTCCTGTGGAACAACAGACTTGGTCACCCCCCCCGCCACGC